CGTCATTTGTTGACACTCTGCTGCGATTTGCTGGTTCTGATTGTTTATTTGCTCACTCGTCACAGCCATTTGCTGATTGTGCAATGCCATTTCCTGATCCTGCGTGACTATTTGATGGTGCTGCATTGACATCTGCTCGCTCAGTACGTGCAAAGCCACGTGTTCGCTCTGAGTCGTCATATGGTGTGGAATTGTGAGCTGCTCACCTTGTGCTCCCATCAGCTGGCTCTGCGATGACATTTGCTGGTTCTGTTCTACCATTTGCTGGTTCTGTTCCGACATTGACTGATTCTGTTCTGCCATCTGCTGGTTCAGTGATGACATTTGCTGGCTTTGTTCTGCCATCTGGTTTTGTGATGTCAACTGCTGACTCTGTACTGCCATTTGCTGGTTCAGCGATGTCATCTGTTGGTTCAGTGATGCCATATGCTGGCTCTGCGTCACTTGTTCATTTGACATAGTTACATGTTCACCTTGTGCAGTCATATGTTGTGTTGATAAATGCTCACTCTGTGTATATGTTGGCTGGGCACCCCTGAAAAACAGAAAGATGAAAATTATCAATAATCATAATAGTCCCAGTTGGAATTAGGGGAAATGTAATTCATGCCAAAAATAATTAAAAGTAATAGCAAAAGTATACTTAGAAAATTGAGAGTGAATAATTGGCTGGTCTAGTATCAAGAGAAATTATATGTAATATACGACTCTTCCAAAATTTAAATATATAGTCAGAAATTAAACAGGATATGCCATTCATGCAATTTTTGTATCCAAACTGAATTTCATTTGCCCACGCTCATGTACAGATATATAGTAGTATGCTCAAAATTGCAGGCAGTCAACCATCTTTGATTGATTGTGAAACTAATTTCCATGGACATGTATCCTAACATGTACAATTTGAAGAGAAAAAACATGTCAGCGATACATTTTGAAAAAACAAGATGTCATTTAGGATTCAAATGCAAAACGAATCATCATGGACATGTATCTCAACATGTATAATGTTTGTACTAAATTTGAAAGAAAACCAACAAATCCTGTCCAAGATACCACATTTCCAAAAAACAACATGGATGCCAGTCACCCATTCTTTGATCCGATTATGGAACAAGCTGACATGAACATGTACTCCTTTATGTGTGATGCATGTGCCAAATATGAATGAAAATGGTCCAAAACCCTTGGAGATACAGTAGTATGGTCAAAAAACAAGATGGCGG